ATATATATATATATATATATATATATATAATTTTGTATATTTAGCTGGCTAATTTAATTAGTTTTGACCGAGAAGCTCAATGTGTAACTTGCCCTCAGAAAATTAGGCATTAGAGAACTTGAATAATTAACCTAAATAGCCTCTCATATTATTACACAAATAGCCAGTCAGATTCAATATTTACTTTTTCTAGCCGATATACATAGATTATATATTAATTGTATACAATTATACACATATTCAGTGGCGAATGCAGCATACAGTTACTGGGTTCAACTGAACCAGTGCTTTCGACGCGAAGCATAAATTTATATGTGAATATCACTAAAACTATAATAAATAGTAAATATGAACCTATAACTTTAAAATATAATAGGTTCAATGCTAAAAATTTTAAATGTTGAACCCATAGAATTAAAATCCTAGATCCGTCTCTGCACATATTACACACGAATCATATATATATAATCCATTCGCCGGCTATTTTTAGTTTAAGAAACTAAGTGGGTGGCTATTTGAGTTAATTCTTCATAAGAACTTGGAATCTAATGTAGGGGTAAAATTCAAAAATAGGCAGATTTACAAGTGGTAATTGAAAAATAGCCACAGTTTCAAAAGTAATCGAAATTTAGCCGCTTTTCATGTAAAGATAAATCTAAACGAAAACACTGTTCAAAATCCAAAAAATATTCCAGCATAATATACTAGAGTTCTAGTACAATATAATGGAGTTCTAGCATAATATACTGGTCCAGCATAATATGCTGGAAGTTCATACGCAAGTGCTTCAATCTCCAGTATATTATGCTGGAACTTTCCGTATGTTGGAAGTTCATGTACATATGCATCAATCTCCAATATATTATGTTGAAACTTTCTGTGTTGCAGCAAAATAATTGTTATTTTTCAATAACTTTACAAATGCTGCCATTTTTCAATTACCAATCCGAAAACTGACTAGCTCGTGCTATTTTCACTAAGTAGCCAGTTGATGCTAAAGCCCATATCAAATCAACTATTCCGTAGACGTGGGCCCAAACAATGTGAGGCCAATTTGGAGCTATGGTGCTTGTAGAGAGAACTGCTTCCAAGTTGTAAAAATTGCACAGAGCGCCCTATTTGGTTGCCCACATTAAACCTATACCTATTTTTTTTTAAAGTTTTAACTTGTACCCACTTTTTAAACAACTTCAGCCCTCTTTCTCCTCCTCCTTCTCCTCATCAAAGTTATATCCGCCCTCAATCTGATGGTTCCATCAGAAGAAATTCAAAGCTTTTCAACTTTTTTCTTGTCCTCTCCTGCAGCAGAGGCTTGACGACCTAATGAATTCATATGTTACAACAGATTAGAGAATTTAGTCATTCAAAACATGTAATCTCTACTAAATTTGCAAGAAATAATTGATAAAAGAGTATACTGAAAAAGAAAAAGACATAAATAAGATACAAACCTTCCAACAAGCTGAAAGATATATGGAGCATTCACAATGTAGTAGGCTGAAGTTCAACTCTAAGAAGGCTGAAGTTCACCAGTTACAAACAAAAACTTCAGCTTTAGAGCTGAAGTTCGACAGCTACAAAACAAAAACTTCAGCTTTAGAGCTGAAGTTCGCCAGTTACAAAAACAAAAATGCTACTTCAGTCCCGTCTACTAGAATGCTGAAGTTTTGCGTGATTGTCTTTGCTACTTCAGCCCCGTATGTTGAAGTTACGCGAAAAAGTAGGTATGCTTGCAATTTTTTTGCAAAGCGGGCACAAGTTAAAACGTGACCCAAAAAACGGGTATAGATGCAAATGCCCCTTCCAAGTTCCATACCGCAAAATTTAATAAAAAGACACGAGTTTAGTAAAACAATATTTACTCAATCAGGGCATATATAATGTAATTTTATTTAGATTATTATGAAGTAATAAATATTGATAAATAAATTAACTAATCTACTATAAGAATTCATTGATAACGTTAAAAAAACTTTGTATATTCAATGAATATAACTTAAATCCAAAAAAAATAAAATTGTGTATCATTAACTAATAGAACAAAGTCGACGACATTCATTGACTTCTTTCGTTTTATTTAACTATTTTTAAATATATATTGCACAACAAGAAATCTCTAACGAGACTTTTATCTTATAGTGTCAAGTAATTCCATAGTTGTCGCCATCAAAATTGTTTTAAATGGACGAAGAAGTTGCTATTTCAAGATGTCATTTCAAAGTAGAAGAAACGACTTTGCCTATTTTATCAATTACGTTGCCCAAAAGCTCTAATTATAAGTAATCAACTACAGTTCACGGAAATTTCTTTGCAAGAAGTGTTCATACAACAAATACGATAGCATAATTTACCTAGAAAAGAAAAGGAAAATAAAGTAGTATACTTAGAGCCTGGTTGGCCATAAAAAAAATCTTCTTCTTTTTTCCGAAAAGATTTTACTTTTTTTTTTTCAAAATCAGTGTTTGCCCATAAAATATCCAATTTCACTTGAAGATGAATTTTGGAATTTTTCAAAAATTTAAAAAATTCCAAAAGACTGTTTTTCAAAATCTCCACTCAAATCACTCACAAAAATTAAAAAATAACCCAAAATTATATTCATGTCCAAACACAATTCTAATTTTCAAATATTATTTTTACTTGAAAAATAAATTCACTTTTTTTTTAAAATTTTACAATTCTTATGTCTAAACACCCACTTAAAAGCAAGTAAATTTAGTATTTATCAAGGCATTGCTTCTTACTTGAGACTTTTCCTTTTGGAAACATTAAGCGTAACAACCTCGAAGTTCCTTCCTTCCCTAGAAAGTCATAAGTTCACATCATTTTGGAGCAATAAAACAATTATAAATAAATCTATATAATAATTATGGATGTGATGGATTATTGAGATTCTTCACAAGAATAATTTTCTTTTTGGTAGACATCATTTAACATGTAAGTAGGCTTATCTGACGCATAAATTTGAATTAATCATTTCAGTAAACTTTGAATGACGGATAGTTAAATCGGTTTTTGTTGTTGTAAAAGAAGAATCTCCTCTAAAGGGTGTGGTTGGATGCATATAAATTATTCATCTTTAATTAGACGTCTTGAATTTTAGCTTTTAGAATGGTTTTTTTTTTAATTATTTAGGATCGCTTCTCCCATTAATAGACCTTACGCAACACAAATTTAATCGGGGACTAATACGAATGAACATCGGGTTGGAAAATGAAAAAAACTACACTACTTTTAAATGTATTTCATATCTTGAAGATAACATAGTTAATTAACAAACCATTTCATCACATCCCCAACACAATAAAATACAAAATAATAATAATAATAATAATAAATAGATAAATAAATAATATGTGGGAAGTGATCTTCTCCAGTTTCACATTATTGGTCACACATTACTGTCATCTATGGCTTATAACATTTGTTTATATACCTTTGACAATCTTATTGTAAACCTACTTAATTATATGCTCTCGTACTTTCAACTCTAAATATTCCAACATTTTTTTTCTCTTTTCTGGTTTCTGACATTATTAGACAACATCATCCATTTATTTGGGTAATTTTTCTGTTTGTGAACATTTTCATAAAGATGAATGCAAAACAGTATTTCGAAAATCTAATATCCTATTACGACTTATTCTCCATCGATTTTGCTAGTTTTTAAGTGTTTTAAAAGGAGGGGTGAGGTGGTATTTTACTTGATACGGGGCAAGGTGTAAGTCTCGAGATATGGGGCACAAGCCCAACAAATCTTTAAATTTTTAATTTATAAATTAATAATATAGCATAACAACACACAAATAATATAAAAAAATACATTAAAAGTTCAAAAGA